TGGTTTGACCAATCAACCGACAACTGCGGTAGCAGAAATTTGGGAAGCTAACCTGAAATGCCATCGGAAAACGAATCCACTATATATATACATATATATATAATCTAGAAAGGTTAATGCAGCCAAGCTGCTGGAAAATAATTCCATGAAAATAAAAAAATTAATAGATAAGTACTCTTTGATCATTCCCATATTGATTTCAATATAAGAGCCACCGGTATACAGCTGTTATGATCTCCTACCACGTAGTAACGGCTACATCCATCAATTAACCCCATCAAAACATTACCTGAAAACTTTATACTTATTCGTAAAAAGTCGTGAATAACTTCCACTTCAAATGAAAATGATAAATGGCAGAGTAATTACTTTTGTACATTTGCAACCAAAATTCTAAGTGATAGAAAAAATTTCAAACTTGTTACACTATGTTCTGAATAATGAAATTTTGAGTGAAGTTCTAAATAATGAATTTATCTATACAATGAATAAACATTTATAGAACGAACTTTGTCTTAGTTTCAGAATATGTAAAATGGAATAGTTTTTTAGAAAAATGTAATTTGGCGGGGAAAAGAGTGTTTGAACATAGTTTGGAAAAACTAATTTTATAATATCTACCTATTACTTGAACGGAAAAAGTATATACAGATGGAAGAATTCAATTAAAAATTCAATCCATTAATTTTTGTTATTTTCAATAAACAGAAATATGAGAGAATATTTGAAATATTAGAAAAGATAATTGAACGTATCTTACCTGGAACAGCCACGACGTAGACCACTGTAATGAGAAGTACGACGATTGCGATTTTCATTCTACCCTTTTGTAGTTCTGATGAGTAAGAAAATTGAAGCTGACCTGTAGATTGATTTCAGAATTGAATTTTGATCGAATTTATATATCTAACCATATCAAAACTATCAATCAGCACTTACCCAATATTGCTGATAATGAATAAAAGCTGGCTGAAACAAATAACTGATAATTTTTCTTCATTACTTTTAGATTTAATTCAGGTGTATTTCTTTCAACATATTTGAAATATCACTATACATTCATTGAAATAAAAATGTTTGGCTTTATATTTTCATCATGCATCTTTCATCAATATATTCCTAATTTGATTCCCAAACCACCCAATATTTTCTGAGGCATCACAGATATCAGAATTTCTACAAAAACAACAGAACGATTTCTTGTCTCTATTCTATAATCAAAACACCCTTTGGCAATAAAAAAATCTCATGTTATATGTTCATCTTGCCATTATTTTTATACGAGTATATTTGAGACGACTCGTAATCTTTCATCACGAAGTATCCCACACAAAAGTGACTGCAGGCTTGACATACGGTCTTGTGGATTAGCAGAGTACGTTTTTCTTGAAGGACTATGGATATTACAAAAATTATAGCTATTGAAAATTGTAAGCTTGTTTCTTGTCACAAACTAAATTGAAATGAAAACCAGATAATAATAAATTTTAAGACCAAATACGAAATTCTTTCAATCAATACTGAACGTACATATAGAAACATGTTCAAATCATTTTCTTGGGTGCTGTGACAACATATTCTATTTTAGATTTTCTTTTGACATATTCCGTCTGTCAAATTTCATAATCTCTGCAAATGCTAGGACAACTCCCAGATATCGCGCGCTCCTCTGGGCTTCAAGGCAGTTACCCTTGAATTGCAACTTCCCGAAGATCTTCAGACTCGTAAATTTCTTCGTGGAGTTAACGAGTTCCGTCTTTTTTGTTCTATTCAGAATTTTATTTTTCTCGAAATACGGCACGATCAACCTGTCGAGGTTCTCTCTCTCTCTCTCTATGATAATGACTTTTGCTACCATTGAGGTGTATTAAGCCATGTCGATCGTGGGACTACAACGTTGTCTGGTATGCACCATGCTGTAATCCGAGTTATTTTTCCATCTATTTGCGTTTGTCTTCTTTATCTAGTAACAGTATATTGTGCTATAATTAGTTAGTAGGTAAAAGTTTAGCATGCAAGAGGTAGGGTTGTGAATGATATAGGAATATGTATAGGGGTATTAAAGAAGATACTAGTTATATCAGGTCATCTCTGCGTTAGTTTTAATTACAATTTAAGACTGTTGTAATCAATGTATTTAATAAGTAATTTTAAAATTTTTATATTAAGATTGCTTAGAACAATTTGAATGGTTAGTGGAGCTTGGACTCCATTTTCTATAGTTTGATTATATAAGTCAAAATTCAGGACAGCGTTGATTGGACATTCAAAAAATATATGATTTAAAGTTTCTATTTTTCCACATTCACAATATGGATTATCGATACAGTTAAGTTTGTATTAGAGAAAATCCTATTTTCAGACGATATTCGTCTCGCCAGGAGCTGGAAACTCCACAACAAATGTCTTGCTCTGGTGGTCGAGAATGACTACATTAGACTCATAAGTTTGTATGGGCCTCAGGGTGGGGAATGAATAGTTTCAATAAATTCGGCACTTCTCGTTCCCCACAACGGATTCAATATCCCCCGGAGCGTATGGCAACACCGGTGTCTCATCAATACCGTGAGAGTGTCGTAATATAACACTCTTAGGACCGCGTTATGTCGATGGATATAGGTCGAGACCGCATATGCTGGACGTGCTGATAGCAAGTGCATTAGGGTCTCGGACGCTTTGCGGCAGGCCCTGCACCTTGTGTCAAGAACCTCTATACTCATTACGCGACTGCAGTAGACTAAGGTGTTGAAGACACCATCCTGGCAAGCCATGATGAGGCCCTCAGTTTTCGACTTCAGCCCACTCGACCTAAGGAAAGCGAAAGTCAGGCGCTTTGATGAGCCAAAGTTATTGAAGAAGACCCCATGCATTGGCTTATCCTTGTGTTTCTATATGAGCTACTTGCTGAACGGGTTCCAACTCGGTGACAGAGTTGTGATCACCTCGTTCAGTATGGAAAACTAAACCGAGTTGATCAGCTACTCGGGCAGCTGCCCTAAAGAGAAATGCTCCAATTCCTGCTCTCTCATCGTCACAGACCATGCGAAGAAGGGGACCCGAACTCCTGACGACTTTACAAACTGTATCCAGTACCATTCTGTCATGTAGACCCTCGAAACTCTAAAATTCACGGACTCCCTGTTGTCATGGGAAGTACAACCGTAGAACGGACGATTTGGGATGCAAACTCCTATAAAGATGCATAATTTTTCGAGTCTTTACGTCGAGTTGATACAGCTCCTCCCGAGTCCACTTCACTACTGCAAACGAGTAGAGTAAGAATGGAACGGCAAGCAAATTTATTGCAGCAACTTTGTTCTTCCCCAACAGTTCTGATGACCAGAGCTGTCGAAGTTTGTGCTGATACTTGCCGCGGAGAGAGTTCTTCACTGCTTTTACCCTTGTGAGTGGCGTTGTTCCACACCGAGCTAAGTGTACGTCTCTCCGGCTTCCATCGACGAGCTGCACATCCTCTCCATAGACCCCGTATCGTCCCCTTTTGAGAAGGACCATTGCACATTTGTCTATCCCGAATTTCATACCCATAGCATGCGTGTCATCTTTCATCACCCTCAAGTGATCCACACTAGATATCTACCTGGGTACTCAATTAATAAAAAACAAAATGTCAGCAAAATTTCTGGGATTACAAATTGATAAAAATTTGGA